TGCGCGCGGCCAAGTCCCCCCAAGAACGTCTCCTCGTTCTTGCGGAGCACAATAACCTTTTGTTAGCGTTGTAAGTTAGGTTAACTTAATTAACTTAACTTCAATGACTGAGAGAATTAACCTACCTAGATCTCACGGTCGTATCAAACCTAAGGGTTTATCGCTTGTATCATTTAATATTCGCGGCTTGCGAAATAACCTCCCAGAGCTCAAGCTCTTTCTTCGGAATCGTGAAGTCGATTTCCTCCTCCTACAGGAAACTAATCTCAAAGCTAAGGACACTAGAGGCCTTTCTATTAAAAACTTCTCTCTTCTTCGTAACGACAGACCCGACCGCCGAGGCGGCGGAACGGCCATCTATTACAAGAAGACACTTCATTGCTCGCCCATTTCTACTCCGCAGCTTACCAACATGGAAGCCACGGTATGCAGGCTAGCTATGACTGGACATCAGTCCATCCTCATAGCCTCCTGTTACATCCCTTCAGGAACCTATCCCCTCAAAAAGGATTTTGAGGCCATTTTATCTTTAGGCAACTCAGTCATTATGTTTGGAGATTTTAACTCCAAGCATACTGAATGGACATGCCGCACTACGTCCCCTAGTGGCAAGATACTGCTCGATATCACGCAGTCTCTTGATATTACCGTCCATAGTCCTCTCGGTGTTACTCACTTCCCCGATAACACCGATCACGCCCCCGATGTGTTAGATTTTGCGTTACTCCAAGGAGTTTCTCTCAACCTCGGAGCAATCGAGACACTAGACGATCTAGGATCAGATCACCGACCGGTCTCCCTCATTCTTGGCCATCAGCCACCTCCCCCAACACACACGAAAACCTTCACTAACTGGAAGGGATTCAAAGAGTCCCTAGCTAAAGCTCTGGACTCACAGGACTCTACCATCTCCCTATCGTCGGACTTAGATAGTCCCGAAAAAATCGACACCGCGGTCGACTCACTCTCCACCCTTATTAAATCCTCCCTTAAGGAGAACGAAAGGGTCGTCCCGGTTGCTAACAATAGTGGGCTTCCCCTACATATTAGCAACCTAATAAAAGCCAAAAAAGCTGCTTTCCGGAGAGCAGCAAAATATCCCACCCCCGAATATAGGCGCGCGGCCAATCGTCTTCAACGAAAACTCCGCTTCCGCCTCTCTGAATTTCAAGATCTCGAAAAGAGTAAGCTCATGGAGAATATCTCTCCATCTCACACAGCGTACTATCAGATGGCTAGAGCCCTCCGCATAGACGCTATCACCCACACTCCCCCTCTCTCCCGTCCCGACGGCACGGTTGCCTTCGAGGACGAGGAAAAGGCTGAGTGCTTTGCAGATAGCATTGCCGCTCAATGCTCTCCCAGTTCTCAACCCGTCGACCCCTCACACGTCCAGGCAGTGGAGGATGAGGTCCGCCGCCGGAGCTCACCCCCCACGGCCTCTGAACCTATCTCTGTGTCCAATGATGAGATCTCATCCCTCATCAAAGGACTTAAGCCTAAAAAGGCTCCGGGCGCGGATGGCATCTCCAACCAAGCCCTAAAACACTTTCCCGAGCAGGTGTTAACCTTTTTATCTATTATCTTCAACGCCTGCTTCAACCTTAGTTATTTTCCCACTACGTGGAAAGAGGCTACTGTGATTGGAATTCCCAAGCCAGGCAAGCCTCTCAACCTCCCCCTCCAGCCATCGCCCCATTAGCCTCCTCAAGGCAATGGGCAAGCTCTTCGAAAGAGTCATCCAAAGTCGTATGAGGCGCTACCTGTTTCCCACAGACGGCGACCCTCTTATCATTCCCCATCAATTCGGCTTCCGAGCCAAACACTCATGTCCCCAACAAGTTCACCGCATTGTGGAATATATCCTCAGCGGTTTCTATCCTCGTCGTCATAAGACCATCGCGGTCTTTTTCGATATAGCCAAAGCTTTCGATAGAGTCTGGCACACAGGCCTTATCTACAAGCTCTATAAAATAGGTCTCCCCGATCGTCTAGTTCGTCTCGTGGCCTCCTATTTAAAACATCGTACCTTTCGTTTCAGACACGAAGGCACGCTCTCTTCACAGCGAACTATCAAGGCTGGTGTCCCTCAGGGCTCAGTACTTGCTCCTCTGCTGTACATCATATTCACCAACGACATTCCCATCCCGTCGAAAGGTGTTCAACTCTCCCTCTTTGCAGACGACACTGCCATCTACTGCAAAGGTGTCTCACTACCCTTCATACGGAACAAGATCCAAAAGTCAGTTGATGACCTAGGAGCTTGGTTCAAAAAATGGCGCATCGATGTGAACCCGGAGAAGAGCTCCGCCGTTCACTTCGATTATAAACGACGCCGTCTCAAAAACACTCCACCAATACGTATGCTAGGGACCCCTGTCCCCTGGCATACGTCCGCCAAATATTTAGGTGTCACTCTAGACACAGGGCTCACTTTCAAGCCCCACGTCAAAAGAGTAACCCGTCACGCACGTTTTTATCTGAGTAGGCTCAACAGTATGTTGGGCCGACACAGTAAAATGTCCCTTCGAAACAAGCGTACACTCTATAAGGTATGTATACGACCAGTCATGTCCTACGCGGGCCCCGTCTTTGCCCACGCAAACCCTAACATTTTAAATGAACTCCAAATAGTTCAGAACCTATTCTGTCGTCGAGCTGCGAACGCACCGTGGTACGTCCGCAATGCCGACCTTCATCGGGACTTAGAGCTCCCAACAATTCAACAATTTTTTAAAAAACTCTCTGAGAACTTCTTCAAAGCCTCAGAGTCGCACCCAAACCACTTAATTCGTGAGGCAGCTTCTTATGCAGCCCCACCCCCCCTCTCGCTATCGTGTCCGCAGGCCGAGAAACTCTCTCTCGGACCCGCCTAATAAACTTTCAAACGACCTGAACTGTCTCCTGGCAGCTCAGGCCAACTCTAATTAAATAAAATTATTGTAATATCTGACATTAATTTGCCTTCGTAGGCACTCCCTCAGCGGCACTTAGCCGCCTGCGCCCTCTTTTCCCAAAAGAGGGTCGCTCATGATAAGGCACAATAGAGCTTAATCAGCCGGTTGCCTGTCCCTAAAGGCGGTTTTTAGGGGGTATCACTTAGGGTCCCCGGTAGGACAGTGAGTCCCCCCATAACCACGATAGACCGGCTATCGTGGTATGCGTAATGCATTTTCCGCCTCCCTACGTACAGGGTAGCCCTTTAATTGCTTCGGGCGCAAAAAAAAAAAAAAAAATGAATACAAAATTAGTAGTGTAGTTAATGGTTTATTATTAATGAAATAAAAGAAATTAATTAATAATGTAGTGTGAAACAGTAATTAAAAAATGGGATAAAGTTAACAAAAAGTTACATTTAGTTCTTTTGTTATATTTTTGTTGATAATGATGAATGTTATTATTTTGATGTTTAAATGTTCCTATATACTCATAAATCCGGTATGAAAACAAATTACTATTGGAACAAATTTATGATTTAGACGTAGGTTTTATATCAATTACTCGTGTCGCAAAATAAAAAATATGATTAAGGAGAAAAAATTAACAAACTTCACAAAAACTAAACAATAGACTTTTCCGTCACCTTAGTTCACATTTTATTTATTCATAAAACACAGCTGTTCATAAAATGAACAGTTCAATACACTTTGCAGTGTAATTGTCTATGCTCACGTTCGCCCAGCAAACAATAAACTCGTTACCCCAAGCTCAAAAAAAGCTAAATATAATTGAATTGTGTAGATACATATTGTTTTAAAATTATGTGGGTATAGATAGCAAAGGAAAAAGCAATTTATTTGAATATTAATATATGTAGAATGTTTATTAGGCGATAACCGACAATGACACCACAGAGTAACAAAACGAAAACCGTGACAGAGAAACCTTTAGACAAATTGACGCCTTCTTTCGCATTTGCACACGAAAAAGATAGATTTATGCATACGTCTTGCATAGAAATGAGACAGAGCGGTGTGATTGTTTGTCCCTTTCTCCGTGCCGGTTTTTTTGTTTAGCAAACTACACTTTGCTAAACAACTTTGACAGTTCGTAGCGATCTAAGGAGTTTATAAGTTGGTTTAAGTGAGAAAAAAGTGTTTTGTGAATCTTGTTCAGTTCAGTTCTTAGAATAATTAAAAATTTTATCTAAATATGTTTAAAAGTCATAAAGATTATTGTATAACCTAAAACTACGTTATCGTCCTTTCTCACTCGAGGCCACGCTAATCATTAGTCTATAGGTTTCTCTGTCTACGACGAAAACGGTGACAACTGTGACATTACATTTCACATTTGATAGTGAGTTTGACACACCATAATGAATTTTTTCGAAGCGTGTGATCGATGCGAATCCTGAATTATTCAAAATTTAAACCTTTAATAGGAGATGAAATATTTAGTTGATAATGATTTCGCGGGTTCGCAATGTTCATAAGTTCTTATTAATCAATTATTGGTTAATTGACATCGATGTTTCGATGTTTGACATGTGGCAACATCGATGTCTTCATTTTTAACATTGATAACCATTGAACAACTCTAAGCAGCACTTTTGTGTAGTTTTTGGCAATGTCTGGTGACGATGAACGGCTTTTGTCAATTTCTAGCGAGATATAACGAAAATTTTCAAGTATTTTCTCAATTTATTTTGGATATTAAAAAACATAAAAATTCGTTTATTTTTGCCTTTTTTAGATTAAATGTTTAATGAGTTTATGTTGTTAGTACTTTGCGAGTTTGCTTTCGCGATATAACCTCTTGATCTGGGCTATTAATTCGATTCTAGTTAATGTAAATCTCTTAGAAATATAAGGGGTAATAAAAAGAAAGTGTTGATTATATTCCGGGAACCAGAAGTGTCTTGTGGTTGTGATGTGAGTGCGAACGTTTTAAAAAGCGACCCGCAAATATGTGAAGAAATAAAATGTGTGTGATTTGGTGTATTAAAATTACCAAGTGTTTTTGTGGTGTTTGTTGTTGGATGCTGCCCTAGGATTGCAATGTCCAGGCTTGTTGACTACTTTGTAATTGTGGGCTTCGACCACGAAAAAGAAAGTAAGTTTTAAACACTATTTTTAGAAAGAAAAGAATTTTTTTAGCAAAGTATATGGGACATAAATAAATAAATGTTCTCTTGTTAATTATAAATTTCTTGTACCAGAATTTTATTTTTTATATTTTTAATAAACGCAGGCAAATAAAAGGTTTTGTTTTGCAAAAATATTCGATTCTGCCATTTGACTACTGTTCTGAACTTTGCTTTTGCTAATGAAATAACAAACAAGTTAACTGTCCAACTGATGATAAGTTGTTACTATATTCAGTGGACACCTACAACCAATTTTAACTACATCTATATTGTTACCTCTGAGAACTAACATTGAATGTCACAGCCTATTAATATATTTGGTCTCCATAACCTAATTTACCAACATTGTTATCATATAATAATGTTGTACAGTATTTTGCTATGCTGAAACACAACTGACACTTAAATTATATTTGTTTTGAAGAAGAGGGACATAAGAACAATCTATGATTTAAAACTTAAAGAGTCTTGCTTCTTTTTAACTTTGGATTTTAAATATGTTTATGAAAATATAATGCATGTATGTAAAAACATATGTTGGTAAAAAAGTAAATGATATACATTCTGTTAATACTAGATACAACCCTAAGCTATAACTACCATTTACTGGACTCCACAGAGTTTGTACTCTATTCAAGGGGCAATGAATATGAGGTATTTACAACAAATTGTAGAAAATAATCAATAGTCAATTGCTAAGTTAAAAAAGTATATATTAAACAAATATTGTATGAAAAGAATTATTATCATATTGAGGAAAACATGGATGATAAAACCCCTACCAGAATAGGCTAATTGTTTCCAAGCAATTTTTAATATGATTTGTATAATAAATAGCAAGAAATTGATTTTATAATAATGATTACTTGCTGGTTCTTCCCAGGACAAAGGTATTTTCTGACTAGTGGTAAATTGGTCTTAAAAATTACATTCAATAAGTATTATTTATAATTTACTCGTGATTCCCACTGGCTTCGCAAGGGTGATTTTTGGATGTTAACAACATATGCATGTATTATACATATACACCTTACTCTTTAATCATTCTGTCTATTAATGTAAACCACATAAAGTCTGTTGCGTAATTTAAAACACACTGTGCAGCGACTTTGTTTTATACTATGTAGAGATATCAAATAAAACAAATTCTAATTATATTATCTGCTAGCTGTTCCCCACAATTTCATTTGCATGGAATTTATTTCATGAGTTTAAATTTTTTGTGTGAAACCCTAATTCTTACAATATCAAGCATCTGCCCATGAAAATCTGTTCAAAATTGGTCCCACCATTTTGGAGATTAGTTAGAAAAAAACAGAAAGACAGTTACAAATTTTAAAAATTGTTTTTAGTAGTAGTTTAGTAGTGTATGTACTTTCATAAGCATTTAGTAAAAAGCTGTTATTTTGACATTACAAACATACATTTAAATTTTATTTATTTGTATATATTTTAATTTAAAACTGAAACATCGACTGTGTATATACTGCTGGTCGGTGGTAAAAATTATTAAGAGTGTTAAGTTATTAGAAGAACCTTGATGAACCTTTTTGTACTTTAGGCTTCCGTCTAGCTTTGCTATTTTATTTTCCCAGCCATTAGAGGTGGCGCTCTCCCCCTTGCATAAATACATTCGAGATCTCGGGTGAAGGTTGCTCTACTTCATGAAATATATCTTATATTTTTTTTTTCAAAAATATTTCTTTTACTTTTATCATGGTATATTATTTTTTACCTTTTTGTATTTCATAAATGTTGTTTTTAGTAATGTTTATACAGATTGTAGGTTTAAAAAGGGTATAATACAACCGAAGGAAAATAAAAACTGCCTCTTCATACAAATTTCGCCTCTACCTTGTTTATTTTGTATGAAGAATCAGTCATTTTGGAGCTCTATGATTCCAGCTCCTGCCCTCATATTGGATGTATATGATTTTTTTATACAATCTGTACATACAAATAACGCTTGTTTAACCTGTTTTTTTAAAGAGAGAAATCGTATAAGGAAGTAATTTAGAAGGCAGTTGATAAAAAAATCAAACAAAAAAATAACTGAATACACATATTTAGTTTGTTACATCATTAAAAGAAAGAGAATTTTTTTCGAATGGTGTAATATTGTGTAAGGGTTAACTTTTTTTCGGATTTTTTATGTTTTTTATTTTATATTGCTTCTATTATATACGGTGGGTCTTTTATCAGCATAGAACATTCAAGGCGCGAATAAATTAATTCTGGTAGCACACAACTGTGATAAAACGGGGCAGCATTTTTTCCCAAAACTCTTCACTCATCACTTATCTCTTGCATTACATTTCTTTTTACTGACACAAGGATATTTCTTCTTTTTTCTATCCATCTTTTTCCGTAAATTTTTTTGGGTAATACATTGAAATTCATCAAATATAAAAGTCGAAGTCAATTAATCTAAAACACTAATACACTGACATACTAAAAACTAGAACTAATATGACAATTTAACAAAAATAATATATATTTAAGTAGAGCAACTTTCACGATATGCTCCGCTTAGTTCATAAGAGCTGCACGAGGGAGAGAGATCAACCATGCGAGCGAGAGGTAAAGTAACGTTGAGCAACACTGTGCATGTAACAAATGCCGAGAAATCCCAGCGGACATGAGAGAATTTTCACGCGTTTCTGGTTTATAAATGGTATATAGGTAAAAAGTACGAAAATATATATTTTTGTAATTTTATTTATTTCTAATTCACTTAAAAATAGTTCTATTTTATGTGGTTTTAAGTACGACTTTGCTACATATATACTTCTAATAAAAAAAATTGATATTTGCAGTAAGAAAAATTACGACTTTTTAAGCCCTTTAAATAAGAAATTTAAAGCATTTCTAAAAAAAGTGACCAGATCAGATTATTGTCGACAATATGTGAATAAATGTGATCTAAATACTTTTCTTGAAATTGTTATAGTTTGTACATAGCAGAGGCTTTAATAAGACCTTTTACGCATTTAACCTAAACATAGGCATGCTTAACGCCTAATAGAGCTATTAATTTAAACACCAAAATAAAATTAAAAAATAGTTTCGAAAATTTAAAATCCTTTTTATTATATATATCCTATTCCACTTTAAATAAATGTAAAATATGTTTCACTTTTCTTTTTTAAATACTATAAAAAAATATTTGTTTTGCTGTAAATTTTGTGAGAACACTAATTTTTACAAGACTGGTCCCCTAAAATTAACAGTGGTTTTCAATTTAAAAAATTTAAAATTGAAAGATTCTTTTTTAATAATGTATATTTATACATAATTTAGCACAATTCGTCGCTAACTGTGAATCACATGATACAGAAAACCGAACAGAATTTTACCACCGATTCAATACAATACAACCAATCAAATGTTGTTTGTGCGATAGCTTGACAATAGCGCTTGTTCTATAGGTAGGTACAAATTACGACTTTGTTTACCCTCTGGGCAAGGCAAGAAAACGGAGCCCTGCAGAAGGTAGAAAAGTAGATGTGGACATTCCTTTTGTGTTCCAGAACTAGAATAAAAGCATGGGCGGAGGTGATCAAGCTGACCACATAATCGCAATATACAGAACAGCTATAAAAAAACCTGTAAAATAGCATCATACTATAAGCAGGAGTGCTACCAAGCCTGGGCTGATGCATTAGCGTCCCGGGATGTAAACACCAGCGCTCTAAAAAAGAAGTATAATTCCGCCTCTAGGTCCTTCAAAAGAGTCATTGCCAAGGCAAAGTCAGAGCACATAGGCAGAATTGGCGAGAAACTAGTTCGCCTTCCTTCTGGAACCCGTGCATTCTGGTCTCTCACCAAGGCTGTCCAGGGGAATTTCTGTCAGCCATCTCTTCCATCTCTGCACAGGAAGGACGACTCACTGGCCCATACCGCAAAGGAGAAAGCCGATCTTCTAGGCTCTTTCTTTGCGTCTAACTCGACTCTCGATGACGGGGGGAGTACTCCGCCGACCATCCCGCGGTGTGAGTGCTCCATGCCGGAAGTGCACTTCACACAGCGCTCGGTTCGCAAAGCACTCCTCTCCCTGGACATCCACAAGTCAAGTGGGCCTGACGGAATCCCCCCAATTGTGCTGAGGACGTGTGCTCCAGAGTTGGCACCGGTTTTAACGCGTCTTTTCCGGTACTCCTACTCCCTAGGCGTAGTCCCAAAATCATGGAAGACGGCTTACGTCCACCCGATCCCTAAAAAAAGGCGACCGCTCTGACCCGTCCAACTACCGGCCAATCGCCATCACCTCCTTGTTCTCCAAAACAATGGAGTCCATTGTAAACTGCCAGCTCATGAGGTACCTTGAAGATCACCAGCTGATTAGTGACCGCCAATACGGTTTTCGCCGTGGTCGGTCAGCTGGTGATCTTCTGGTCTACCTAACTCACAGATGGGCGGAGGCAGTAGAGTTCAAGGGGGAGGCATTGGCCGTTAGTTTGGACATTGCGAAGGCCTTCGATCGGGTTTGGCACAAAGCGCTTCTTTCGAAGCTCCCTTCCTATGGGCTTCCCAAGAAATTGTGCGATTGGATCACCAGCTTTCTTGCAGATCGGAGCATCAAGGTCGTTGTAGACGGTGCAAGCTCCGATTGCAAGCCTATTAATGCTGGTGTTCCACAGGGCTGTGTGCTATCGCCAACGCTGTTTCTTCTGCATATCAATGACATGTTGCATACCCGTAACATTCATTGCTATGCAGATGACAGCACTGGTGATGCTCTTTACACCGGCCGGGCTAATATTTCTCGGGAAAACGTCTCCGAGTGCCGGGACAAACTTGTGTCTGAAGTTGAGTCTCTGCTGGACAGAGTCTCGGATTGGGGGCGACTAAATCTAGTCCAGTTTAACCCCCAGAAGACACAAGTTTGCGCGTTAACCGCTAAACCCTTTATCCTATCCCCTCAGTTTCAAGGCACTCCCCTTGTTGCCTCAGCCAGTATCGGAAT